CAACTTTAAGCTACCAAAAATATTGTTTGATGTAGCCATGAAAATGTAAGGATGCATCCCGTTTTTAAAGAGTATAGATCGATTGTTAATACCGTGAATTCATAATAATGTTAAGCGCATTGATTTCAATCTTTTATTTACCTATTCGTTACTGTTCATTAGAGCTACAAAAAAATATTGTTCGATTTAGTCATGAAAATGTAAGGATGCATCCCATTTTTAAAGAGTTTAGATTGATTGTTAATATCGTGAATTCACAATAATGTTAAGCGCATTGATTTCAATCTTTTATTTATCTATTGGTTTCTGTTCTTTAGAGCTTCAAAAACATATTGTTCGATTGAGCCATGAAAATGCAATAATGCGTCGCTTAAAAGAAAATCGACCGATTCTTAACATCGTTAATTCACAGTAATGTTACGCGCATTGGATTCGTATACTTTACCTATTCCTTTTTTCTTTATAGCTAGAAAAAATATTGTACGATTTAGCCATGAAAATGTAAGAATACATCCCGTTTTAAAGAGAATGGATCGATTATTAACATTGTTAATTCACGATAATGCTACGCGCATGGATTTCTTTAATTTACACGCATGTGTCACGATATTATAAAACACTCTTTCAATGAGAATATAACGGAATTAAAGATTATTTGTTAATTTCCATATTTCACACGCCTCGTTTTTCACACTCAGCATGGACATAACTAAAATGGAAAATGGAAAATTGAAATTTTCTACACATTTTCCACACTCCTTATTTTCCACACTCCGCATTTTCTACACTCCTCATTTTCCACACTCCGCATTTTCTACACTACGTACTCCGCACTCCTCACTCCTTGTATTCCACCGAACTGCTTCGATTAACCTGCGACTACGCGTGTTTGATTGAGTATCAATTTGAATGAGAAACTGGAAGGAGGCCATTAAGAAACTCAAAACGGATATAAGCTGACCATTTCCGCTACGAATTGTCTTTTGCAGGACCGTCATGCGGATGGTCACATGACACCCCAGATAGATTCTCAGCAGAACTATGAGCTAATATCCCTGCTGGAGAGTGATGGCAAAACTACAATGAAGTTCAAACGAAAGTTCGAAACTTGCGATCCAGAGGACAACGCAGTTCAGGTGAATGGTTTTTTGTGTACTGGTTTAGCGAATCGGTTTAGTCTGTTCACAGACGTTTCTTTTTTGCCACAAGTGTGTAAGATCAATTGCGGAGCGCGAGGGCGGCCTCAAAGCGGGCTCTTTCCCCCATGGCCAGCCCCTTGCGTTCGCGCTTTTTCAAATCCCCTGCGATTGATACTTTTACTTGCGAACTCGACGAACTCAAGACGAAGAGGGTTTGTGGAAAAACTACTATTTGTTTGCTATAGTAATTATTCGTCTTTGATATAATTTTTTCTTCAGGAAGGAACGACTAAACTCATCTACGCATTTCATCCAGACGACCCTTCCTCTGAAGACAACATTCCAGCACACGATTTCAAAAGTAGAGGAGCTAGAAGTGTATTACTGCTCAATACTATAGACGATATCCCCAAACTACCTGATGATACCAAGACTTTCAACTTTACCGCCAACAAGGTAAAATTGTTGAGACGAAAATAGACAGATCAAATGTTATGAATGTTTCGAATACCGCACGAGTAAGCGCATCAACAAGGGTGTTGGTTTCTTAATGGCAACGCATAATTTTTCTCACTTTCCGCGTTTTTATCGAGTTATAGAAACAGAACTGGAAGAGAACGAGAAATGCTTTGGGAAGAGGAACTGTTGGCGAGTGTTTCCATTGACGTTTCGAGGCTTCTTTCAAGCTTTCCGGGTCAGGGGTTTTCTGTAACTCATAGAAAGAAGAAAATGTTCTTAAATTCTTTTAGAAAATAATGCGAGGCAAGGAAAGGAAAATCGCTCGCTTGCGGTGATTATCAACTTTTAAATTCTCATTACTCGCGTAGATTAGTTTTCTGCACTTCGACCGCGCAAAAAATGGGGCGAGCGAGGGTCTTCCCTCCTCTCGTCAAGTAATAGGCCATATTCGTATTCTCGGTATTGGACTGGAACTAGCTTGGGATGGAGGCTCATGCGGGGAATATCATTAAAAAGAGATTAATATCATTTGCATTTGAAAAGACTCCTTGCATTAGCCTCAATTTCAAGCTAGTTCCAGTCCAATACCGAGAATACGAATATGGTCTATTGCTCTCTCCTCAATTTTTGTCTGACCCAAAATGCGGGACTGGCTATATTACTGCTCTTATCCCGCGTTTTCGTTTGTTTGTTTGTTTTTTATTTTCTTTCGTTTAGGCTTTCGTTCTTAGTTTCTTGTCTTTTTTTGTCTCTCGTAGACAACTCTGCCGACGAAACGTACAATTTACTATTATCGAGTGTTCGAGTTTCCAAAGTTCCAGAAGAGACATGACATCATTCAGGTAAGGCGGGAGGCGTTCAGTAAAACTGACTTCCGTTTTCAAGGGCATCTAGAAAAAACCTTTAGTGAAATTCGCATATCCCAGCCAACGCCCCTGTATGCTCCCTCTCTGTCCCCTCATTTTCCCTTGGGTATGGTGGCTAACTTTCAGTTAAAGCAATTTAACCCATGCTTAGTTTACTGACACTGAAACTTTAAGTCCTTTTAATACTTCCCCCTTTTGACATCAATATTTTTCAGCTTTGAAAAATGATGTTTTACTTGAAGTTTGCACTATTTTTAACTACCCATAAGTGTACACATCGCATGTGCTTTTTTCTAACCCCCAAAAATGGAAAGAAAAAAAATCGCACATTTGTTTCCACGTTAACGTTATTTTCGATTGGCTGGAATATACAGTACGGTTGAACACCATTACTGGACAGTTCCCTTAAGCAGACACTAACTTTTTCCTGATCTCAAGTTTTTTCTAACTCGTTGGTACGCTTGTCTTGTATAGAAATAGTCATTTATATATCTGCTTTCCAATTTAGGTTGATCCTATAATTCAGGAAGGTAACGAGGGGGTTGTACACCACATGCTTCTTTATGAGTGCAGCGATGATTTCCCGAGGAGTAACCTAAGCTACGAAGGCACACTGGATTCTCCAGGCATGCCGCCTGCTGTAGAGCAATGTGCCGGGCCTTCTATGATCGCGGGCTGGGCGATTGGTGGACAGGTATTGGTTACAAAGTGTTGTATTCTTGGAACGTGATGAACGGTTGTTAATATCTATTCGGTGGAATAACCTGCCTGTTCCATGCAGACTCTCGGTCGGTTGGGGACGAGCGAGGGAGAAGGAAAACGAGGGGGAGATTAAAGCAAGAAGAGGCGCATAAATCTCGCCTCGTTTTTCTTGTCGCTCTTCGTCAGCTAAGCTAGCGCCTGGAAAAGCACACGTAACACACGTAACAGCAACCTCGTTCCCAGGCCCTCTCTCTTCGGGATCCCTTGAGCGAGAGGGAAACTCGTAATTGAGAGACGGGAAACGACGTTGATGTAAAACATGGAAACATGCGCATACGTGCCACTCTCATTAACAGGGTTATGTTGAATGTGTTTAGTGCATCTGAGTAACGAGTTCATGTTCGAGTGTCAAGTTACTATTTTTGTATGGCTTACACTTTGTGTTAACCACACTTTGTCACGAGCCCCGTATTTTATTAGTTGTTTGTCCAAGAGAGGTAAGCGCTTGTCACGTGGTCTGCTGAGAAGACTGGGTTCCATTGCCCAGCAAGAAGACCGGGAGAAATACAAATACAAATACTAGAAAACAGGGTTCCAGTGAGTAGTCGAGTTATCAAATTAAAAGTCTGCCATGGTGCCCAGTCGTCCGTTCCAATGTTTCAGTGTACCGTTTGTACCCCCATCTCCTGATTCTCCCTTTTTGCTGCAAAAGAGGGAGACAATAGAGAGGGTCAAAACCATGGAACCAGATGTACGCTTGTACCAATGATATCACTTGACCAGATGTACGCTTGTACCAATGATATCACTTACCTGATTCACAGTCGTTCTATTATCCTGAGCACGTGGGATTATCCATTGGAGAACACGACAGCCCAAAGATTGCAGTCTTGGAAATCCACTACGATAACTATGAAAGCAAAGCAGGTAACTTTCGCATGAGAACGATTTGTCATTGGGTCCGTCAATTCCAAGCCTTAAAAAAGTTGAAATCTAAATATTGTCTGTTCAATTTTTTTTGGGGGGGGGCATGGGGGGGGAATCTTGCAAATGTCCCAGGGAGGGGCTACAATATTTCTGCAATCCCGACAGTAAAGCTTCGGAAAAACTGCAAATTAAATGCTCAACCCATGGGACAAGGTCAAACTTCTGCTTGTCTGATTGATGATGGCTGATGATAAAAGCAACAATTGTTTAGCAATAAATGGATGTTAATTAATATCTATAACCATGGTTTTTAAAAGCTGTGCATCTCCGGAAAGTAACAAATTAAAACTTAACGTGAAATTATGCAAAAACTGGCATGCCATTTCACCGGGAATCCATATTTCTATGTTTGACTTCAACTGATAAGATAACCCTCTATTAAGCATCCTATTCTAATTGAATAACAGCCTAGCCTCACCCTACTTCCTTAACACTCATGACGCTCGCATACTCAAAACAAAAATGCGCTCGCTCGAGCTACGTTGAAATAACTTTTCACGATACGATTTTCGTTCCAGGTATCATCGACAGTTCTGGTTTACGTTTTCACTACACAAGCCAACTTAGAAAGTACCGGGCTGCCATGTTATCAATTGGATTGCGTGTGCCAGGATACCTTTACATCCCACCCAATCAAGATAACTGGATAACAGAAGGTTATTGCGCTGAAGAATGCACAGCTGAGGTTTGTTTTTCAGGGATTAATTAATATATATATATATATTTTTTACATTTTTGTAGTAAATAATGCGATTGCTGCCGCTTTGAAGCAAAAAGGTAGCATGGCGGCAGTATAGATTTTGTTAGATTGACAATTTCGGTATTTGGTTGTACAAAACGTTTTATTAGGATGGGAAGGGGGGGAGTAAAGGGGGATGACAAGATTTATTATTTTGGGAGGGAGCAGGGGTTGAAGGGCTGTAAGGCTGAAACATGCACAAATCCAAAAATGACCAGCGATTGTTCCGTTTTCAAATTTCGCAGCGCCGGTGTGGACTCACCAATCGTCACGCTGAACAGCATCAACTGTAAAAATATGAAATTGTAAATATGTATGCAAAGATCTAGTTTGTTTACCCACGGAGCACCAAGGAGTTCACAAGAACTCGTTCAGAAATGCCCGTGCATTCCAAGATCGAATTAGAATTTGGAAATGTTGGTTTTTGAGGAGAGGGGAAAACCAGAGTACCCGGAGAAAAACCTCTCGGAGCAGAGTAGAGAACCAACAACAAACTCAACCCACATATGACGCTGGGTCCGGAATCGAACCCGGGACACATTGGTGGGAGGCGAGCGCGCTCTCACCACTGCGCCATCCCTGCTCCCCAACTGAAACTCTTTTAGCTCAGTAGGCGTGATTTAGAGACATTCTTGATTTTGTTCAGGTGAATCAACATGCACTGAAAACTATTCCATCTTTATCATGACATCACTATTATGTCACAGGGTCTGAAAGGCTCCACACTCCCAGATGGAGGAATCCGGATATTTTCCGCTGCTCTTCACACTCACTTAGCAGGTGAGAGACTGCAAGCGGAAATAGAGCCTTTCACTCACTATGTTACCATCTTAATTCACATTCACTGAAGACAGTCAACGAGTATGTAAATGACCGTAAAATAATTACAGTGGCGTAATATTTAGCGCGTTGGACCCCGGATAGAACGACCCGGGTTGGCCATCAGGTCTTCAGCGCTTATCTCCGCTTTCCATAACCATAAGCGATTAGGAGTATCTCTACTTTCCGTACCCTGGACGGGAAGCTAGGTCGTCGCGGGATTAGTTCCTAGCATTTTATTCACCGTTACCCATTCACACATCAGGGTGAAGAGAAAACAGTCTTGCCTAATCCTAGTCCAAACGTCCATGCTACTGCCGTGCCCGGTAGTGGCATCACAAAAGAACGGCAGTGGTTTCAAACGTCGAATTTATTTCAGTCGCGCCGAAGATCGGAAGAAGTTTGCTTTGTTGAAGACCATTTTAAATGCTAGAAAGCAACGGCAGCTGATGCAGCAGGTTATGAATTCAGTTCGGCACGGCTAGAGCACGCCGTTTGAAGCCAGGTCGAGCTACTGCCGTGCGGTACGGCAAGGCCAGCCGTACTAATAAAAATTCAGCCTGCTCAAGTGAGTGGTTTCAAACGTCGTGCTACTGCCGTACTCAAGTCGAACTGAATTCTTGAATTAAGGGGAGGGTACAGCACAATGATCGCAGGTTAAGCTTTTATCTCTACGTCTAGTCCACAAACAGCACTGAAAAATATGTTAAAAAAAGAACATAAGAGGTAAGCTCATAAAGTTTCTCTCCCATTTTTTTTTTAAATAAAGGTCATGCAGCATACACTCGACATGTGAGGAAAGGAGTTGAACTTCCAGAGATTATCAGAGACGACCATTATGACTTCAACTTTCAGGTGAATGATTAGCTTAAACGTTAAATTCAAACAGGAATTTACGGGAGAACATCAAACATTACCAGAAGTGTTTATTAAATTACATGGCCATAAGCTAGGCGCATCTCAGTCGGTTCGAAATTTAAATAGCAAAGTGACAGATCCCCTATACCCTTTCATAAACCTCCCGGGAACATGCTCCGCCTGCTCTCCCCGACGTAGGTGAATGACCAGTCGTGGCAGCTCACTTAGTATACTATCGTTCGTTTCATTCTGATCCATTTCCTTTCTTTTTTTTTTCTTTCAAAGGAATTTCAGGTTCCCAGGGAGGAGGTAACAGTCCTGCCGGTAAGGAAGTGCAACGGAAGTTTGTTAGAAAATACACGTGAATTTGTATTTAAGTACATCCTGTTTGTTATCCTGGTACCTGAAGTTTTTCTTTCTTCTTTCTCGTTGGCTATTCATTCTCAGAAAACTCGTGCTTGTAGTCACTTCGTAATTGCATTTTTTTTTTCAGGGAGACTCCTTAATAACAGTCTGCAAGTACCTCTCAGGAGAGAAAATGATAACTGTATGTGGAGTTACTGACCGCCTTACCCCTTCCTTACACATTGTTACTCTAAGACCAATAAGTCTACATCAGGAGCCATAATCGGGGACGGAGACCGTAAGTCTTGGGATCCGCGCGCACCTTTGATATGGGACAATTTTTCTAGTTAGAACAAATGGCGCCATCCTGACGTCAAATATCCGCGCGGATCCATGCACATGTCGGGGGCTCTCGCGTGGATGTTGTCACGTTGCGTGATCAAATGGTGAGAGTTGAGAGACCTTGAGAGATTATC